TGAAGCTCCAGGAGACAGAAGGCACACACTGGCCTCCACTCACGACCCTGAGTCCCCCGTGAAGCTCCAGGAGACAGAAGGCACACACTGGCCTCAACTCACGACCCTGAGTCCCCCCATGAAGCTCAAAGAGATGGCGCACACGCACTGGCCTCCACTCACAGGCACTGGGGCGTTTTTGCAGATGGTCAGTGAATGGCATCCACAAAAAGGGAAGGAAAACTCTACACGACAACTGAGCATCCCCATGTGTCCTTTTATTTTGCTCTTCCAGTGGCAGCAAGGAGCTTTTGCCATCACGTGGACACCCATGCAGACATGAGGAGCTAGGTACTCTCCTGTGTCCGTGGAAACAGGACAAAGGCCCGGGTGTCTGACATGGGGAAGCCAGGCTCATCAGGGTGGACTGGATCATCCCAACTACACATCCCATACCTAAGTCCAATCATCTAACAAACACCCAATGCTTCCTACATTCTGTGTAAATTGAAGGGCACCCAAAAGGGAGATAGGACTCATACCCTTGAGAAATACAAACCCCAACAGCACAACAAAAATATAGGCAGACAGATAGACATATAAGCAGGCAGGCAGGTAAGCACTCTTTGGATTACAAGAAAAAGGTGCTTTTGAAAAATGCTAAAAACTCGAGTCAAAGCAATTGTCCTCAAAGCAATCACAATTAAATCAAGAGCTAGAAGGACACCAGTCACACGTGGTCACCTATGGGAGCCCTGACAACCTGTCACAGGCAGTCCCCAGGTTACACTGTCCATTCCTAACTGAGTCTTCCAGGATTCGTAGATCGGTCGGAACAGGCATGTACGGTTCTTCTTCAGCCTCACTCTAGTGCAAGGAGAGGCTCGAAGCCTCTTCAGTGATTCAAAGCTGACCAGGCAGCCAGTGGAGGTGATTGTGATGATGAATTGACTGCAAATAGGGACTGGTTCGGTCATTTCACAGTGATGGGAAATTTACATAAACATAAAATGGAGTCTGAGTCAAAACAGCGCTGCCCTGCTCAAAGATGGCGGCCAAGTACACTATCTGAAAGCACGTGGCTGTCCACAGTCCTGCCAATAATCCAGTCTCCCACATCCGGCTCCTGAAAGGGCTCGCCAAGCCTCTTCCAAGTCTCCCATGCCTGGACTTCCACCTGTAATTTTTCCCGTCTGGGAACCAGGACAAATTACCCAAATCGTGAAAAGTCAGGACTGCTCCTGCTTCACTTCGTTGGCCAGGACAGAACCGCTTCCAGTCGGTTCAAAGCCCCATTTAAAGGGCAAGTAGGAGCTGTCCGTAAGTCGGATGTTCATAACCCAGGGACGGCCTGTACGGCTCAGTGCCAACTCTGCAAAGTGCAGCCCCTGGCGCTGGAGGCGGGGCAGCAGAGCAGGTGCAGGGTGGAGGTCTCAAGGAGAGACAGGCCTTGACGATTCAGCAGGCGAGTGCCTGCCTGATCACACCCGTGAACACGGAGGGCGGGGACCAATCCTAGATGTGCCTGCTCTCAGGTGAGGACCCATGAGGCGCTCAAGGAGTGCAGACCGGCAGGAGTGGCCTGGTGACAGCGACGAGGGGAAGGGAAGAGCAAGGTCCAGCTGAGGGAGGAAGACGTGCGAGAGAGAGGCCCCAGGCGAGGCAGACGAGGCAGAGTGAGTGTAGGACCAGGAGTGGAGCACGGGCAGCAGGTGGGCGTGGACACCACACCTACA